GTTTCCGTGCGCATTATTTTAGCCTCAATTCACGCCACTCCGCTGGCTAGGCGAGCAGGCCAACCGAACACAACCGAGCAAATAATTAGTCGCCGTGAATACTTTGCATAATCAAACGCAGTCAAATACCAATTCAATAAATAATCATTACTCTAATAAAATAAATATCCCGCCGATCGCTCACTGCGATTGACGAAACAACCACTCGATGTCCAAATAATAACTGATAATCCATTATTAATATTATTGTAATAATTTTACATGTTATTATTGCCATTACTCTTGTTGCTATTATTATTGTCATTATTATTACCTCATAAATCAGACTAAAATTTTGATCCCGAAATGGGATATTTTCAGCTGTTTACAATAGTAACCGTGAATCCGAATGAATGATGCAAGGCATTACCCACAAGTTGCAGTTGTCATTATTGAAGTTTCAAATTCGGATAATTTAAGGTATCTGCGATATTTGCGGTAAAGAAGTGACCGACGAGACGCAAGTGACATGTGCACTCGGCAAGATTTATCACAAGAAATGTTTTGTGTGCGATATGTGTGGACGAACGTTGTGTGGAAAGAAATTTTATAAGGTTATTCAGTTCAAATTCAAACTAATTTCGCACTCGCCCATACGCATAATTCGATTTTTCTTCTCAAACTCCCTCATTCACAAGCATTAAAATGGTGAATTCGGTGACAAAAGCAATAAATCTTCCTGAAAGCCATCGAATTTTAGCTTTAGAAACTGTTCATCTGACCGAATACTCATCCAAATTTGAGCTGAACCATATAACGTTTCGCAACTTCAGACACGTGGTAAGACTTATTGCGAAGAAGATTATTTGTATTCGGGAATGCATGAAACTGCTGAGCGATGTGCTGCATGCTCGCATCTGATTGTTGATATGGTAAGTGAAGTGCGACGTTTGATTTGGTAATATCCGCAATGTTGTCATGATCTCTGATTGGACTGAAATTACTATCCCTTAAAACATCCGTCCACGATATCAATGGGCCTAGCCTATTTTCAAAACAAAATGATAGTGGATGTAGGTACCGATCAGAGCTGTAGTCGTCTAAAATGATAATATTAGAACTTCTAAGGTAGATGTAATTTACCACATAATATTCTCCTATGAAAGGAACAAATTTCCAAAAATGTATATATTCTACGAGATATTTGACTTGAATCAGACCGTCAGAAAATGTATATTCGAGTCTTGATTATAATNGTGAATAATATTTATATTCATTGCAAGTATGTGATGAGGATATTGACGGAAGAATGATGCACTTTAAGGTATTGCAAGCACTCGGGAAATCGTATCATCCGAAATGTTTTCGTTGTGAGGTGTGTCGACGTTGTTTGGACGGTATACCGTTCGCTGTTGACGATTACGGCAAAGTCTATTGTATGGAGGATTATCACACCAAGTTTGCACCGAAATGCTTTGCGTGCCACAAACCGATCATGCCTGCTATGGTAGTCATTTTGGCTGTTCTCTTGAAAACTATTCTTCAAAGTCTTTGACAAGAATGGCAGTGGTGATAACGATGAGCATATTGAAAGCATAATCAAGGTGGATACTATCATTAGTGAATGATACGGAGATAATTGAGTATTTAAGGATTCCGGTGAGACGGTTCGAGTGGTTGCGATCGATAAGGACTATCATGTGGAATGCTATGTTTGTGAGGTGATCATATCAAACAATCATTACAATTCATTCTTATTCGTATCTTAAATATTTCCTAAAACCACCTCAAACTAGAAAAATTATTCAGTCAATTATTAATCCCTTTGTTTTCGTCAAATAAATTCGACA